GTAATGAAGACCATTCTCCTTGGCATGAATTTCAGTTCATTCACTTTGTAACACTTTTCCTGAACCTCACTCCTTTTRCCCTAAAGATAGCGCCCAATTTTGAGTTGGAGACCAACACTGGCTCCCACAATTTATCAAAAATGTTTAGCTGCATGTCCCTGCAGACCTCCAAGGCACAGCAAAGAGATGAGACTCCTGCTACTGTAGTAGAAGTCTCCTTTGAAAAGAGTAAGGAAGTTAAAAGCTGTAGCTGAAAACCCAACWTGCTCACAGTTTGAACTGAACTAATTGCTTGAAATGAGCTCAGGAGCAAGTGCTGAAAAGACCTTTAGATCCTGGCGACAAGCACTCCTGCTCCATCACCCAATCAACCACCATTTTGTTAACAACAACAGGTTTAAAAACACGCATACCTCAAATCTTCCAAGCTTATCCTGACAGGGTCTGATAAACACAAAAGCATCCTGAAAAGTAATTACATTTGGAATGTCCACCTTTTAATTTAGCAGCCTGCTTTTAAAGAGTAATTAGATAATTTTAAAAACATCTATTAAATTGAAATAGTAGAGAGATGAGACAAACCAGATTTTCCATGATAAAACAAACAACAAACTAAAAGAAATCAGGAACCATCAGGAAGATCTAGATTTTCAGCTTTGCACATTTCAGCCACTTCAGCTACACTGCATGCTTTGTTTCTTCAGTTATCTTGTAGCTGAAGCACACGCATCTCAAATCAATACAGCATGCACCCCACATGTGCCAGAAATTCAGTAATTAGAAGCTAATAATTTAAAAAACAGTTTTGCAAGCTATCAGTAGTGAGAGGGGTCTAATCAGTGAGAAGCAAGAACACATCCTTATGGTGGTTTTAGCGACCATGGCTGGAAGGCCTAACTGTCGATAAACCCTTCACCTTCCGCAATGCCGAACTGCAGATGCACACAGTATTCCCTGGCACAAACACGATGTTCTGTGTTCATTATATCAAATTACATGGTAACTCTGTCATGATCTATGTGCAGCAAGTGAAAGATCTGTTCTTCCAGCAACACTTCCACTACTTTTCAGTTTAACTGGGTATCTTCCATTTTTCATGCAGCAGAACAGGACAAAAAGCTTCCTTTTGTGTGTCAAAACAATCCTCTTCCCTTGTCTCCCCTCTCCTCCTCACAACTACCTCTCATATGAAGATTTTTGTACATGTTCCTATGGAACGTCTTTATTTTAACAAGGTAGCATTGTGGATCTCTATCTATTTTGTACAATCAAATGATAGAGATTTTATTCTCCATGTCGATTTTATGCCTCCCAAAACACTTTTTTTTTCTTGGGGGAAAAAGAGCCAACATAGCATGTGGGGCAGAAGTTTGCATGTCAAAGTCTGCATAGGATGTCCAAGACCATTCGTACATGCAAATATGCCCTGATGCATGGTAAGTCATRTCTACCTGCTCAAAGTTTCCCTAGACCCCCTGCAAATGCCTTCCTTCTGACTCCATTAGAAAGTAATCTCAATGTGAGTTGGGACACCCACCATCCTTGCATGAAACACTCTACACTTTCTAACACAGAGCAGTGCACAACTGGTACTGCCTSGGAAAACACACATTTACAACAAATGATTTAGAACTCTTGCTATTTCTACCACCAAAGCCTCTTCCTTCTCCAGCTGATTGCACCAAATATTGCTACCATGCAATAACAGGAAAGGTGTTTCCTCAAGCACTCTAACCAGAAATTATTTTTGTATCAGAAAAAACTGTTTACAGTAAGCCATCACGATTTTTGCACCTTCTTGCCCATTAACACACTTCTGCAAATATAAAACCTCATTAGAAATCAGCTAGCCCTTGGAAATCTAATACCACTTCAACTTTTACCATACTGGTAACAAAGAAAATGAACCTGAGGCAAAAGATAATTATCAAGAGATGCACTTCTTCACAAAAACAAGTGGTCACACTCAGTGACGGGAACTGCACCTAATTCGGGGCACACTGTGGAATCTCTGCATAGAAAGGAAAGTAACATAATGTAAGTAAATATTTGTGGTTTTCTTTCTCAGTTATCAGTCCCTAGACTTCAGACTGCATTACTGTAACAGAGCCTACATGGAATCTTGAAGGTCATACTGAAATTTCAGCTGATGCAGCATGTTTATATAATAATATTTCACAATAGGAACATATTGTATCTTTATTCCTGTAGGATAATGGTTTCACATTCATTACCTAGGGTAACAATATACATTTCAAAATACAAATTCCCTTATGGCTTATCTGTCATGTATGTTGAGTCAGGTTTGTTTTTCTGGCCCAACAGACAATGTTACTTGGGATGCTCCAGCAAACAACCACCTGATTCACTGGGTGTGGGAAAAGCCACCACAAAACCACACAGACTGCAAAATGATCCAATGAATCCACAGGGGAAAAAGAATTTTAAACAATGAGAAGGCAAAAAATTACTAAGTTTTATAAAGGTCCCCTGCTTAAAAGATACCTTCTGCATCACTATTCTGAGATGCTTGGGAAGTTCACAAACCTATACGCAGGTGAACTCTTTCCTTCTAGTTCAGCTTTACACTTCATTTCAATGGAAAGCTACGACTTCACAAGCTCTTTCAAATGGATGAAACAATTTTTCCCCCAGGTATCCAGCATGTAAATTTAAATTTTTGGTGTGGAATTAAAAAAAAAAAAAAAGGCAATTATCCTTCATATCATTACATATTACAGACTGGGAAAGGTCAATTTCCCAGGCATTATGAAATACCCTTTTACAGCACTGGTTAGTTAAGAAATACAGACCCTAATTAAACAGGATGTCAGTCTTTGCCATCACTACCAAAGATAGCCACCATCAGCGTCACCCAAGACTTCTGAGCCACACAGAAAGAAATTAAAGCATTATTTTAATATACACACTCACTGAATCTCAACTKCTGTGATGCTTACTTCAACAAGACTGATAATGGCTTTTACCCAGACTGCCGGTGAATCACTGGCAAGACATCAGAAGTTTCCAAAAGCAATCCTGCTCATTTATCCTTATCTGCTTTAGCATGAGCACATTTACATAATAATACACATCTCAAGATGCCCCTAAATTAAACTCTGCAATATTAATGTCTGCAATTTCCCAATTTATATGTTCATCTGTTCACTGGAACACTAGTTCTTCAAATTATCAGCATACAACCATCCAAATGGAAACCATCCCAACCATCACAATTAGAGATTTCTAAAATATTTCACTCTAAACTAAGCTAGTTTGAATACAAAACTGACAAAAAACCGCACAACACCAAACAACAAACATCAGAAATGATACAAGTTCCTTCCCACTCATCTCAATGAAGGTTCCCTGCTCAGAAGTGATTGACAAACTCAAGTCTCTGGTTGTCAAAACAGACTGCTCTGATGGTACCTGCCTTTCCAGACTTCCAAGCAACCTGTCAGGCTGTCTGCTTTGACAGACCCTTTTCTAGGACAGGAAGTCAAAGCCATAAGCTATCATTGGAGAAAGAAAAGATACCTGATAACATCTGTTTCTATTTATGCTAGTGAGAGCGGTACTTCGTATCAGCATTGTGTATTAATGCACTGAAGCCATGGTACTCCTGGTGAAGCTTAGAAGCCGGCAATAATGTACACTGCCCCTGAACACAGATTATTTAYACAGCTATGAAGTCCCATATTAGCTTCACCAACTCCAAATGTAGCGATACAAACATTCATAGCTAATACTAGTAACGACCTCCACGTCCTTATAAGCCTAAAAAAGGTAAGAAAAGATAAATTTAGGAACACATTAACTTCTGCTTCATAGTACTCATGTGTTATCTAACAATTCTCTGGCCATATAATGTGAATAGAGTAGAAATACTTAATTTAACAGCTGCATTTCTCTTCCAGCACTCATTAAATGACAGCATCGCTATACCACTATACCAGTTACAGTGATTAAAGCAGCTCAGCCGCAATCCAGATTACTTTGAACCTTTTAATTATTTTTGCAAATTTTTAATTTTTTTCCCCCACTTCAGCCATTTTCAATATATCAAAACACACAGAAAAACGTAGCTTCCACCGGAGGAACAAGCGATTTGTCACTCCTACTTGACTGAATTTAATAAATATAAGAGAGACACTCTGGAGAAAAAGGCATGTGGAAGAAAACAAAATATTCTCAGTTCCTAGGAAAAATAACCAAAACAACGCATCAGTTACCTGCTTTAAAACAGGACAGGCCTCTCACAATGCCTTTTGAGGACAAAATYTGACACCAGGACATTCGCAACCACCAAAGCACATTAAAAACCAGCTATACCAACATATCACCCCCAGCAGGAAGCCCTACCCACTCTGTGGGTGTAATCCAACAGCCAAAACAATGCCAGGGTGGAAAATCTAGCGCAAGTCAGGGAGATCCTGTGCGGTTTCACCATGGTTTGTCCCCACGCAGAGGCAGCCGGGGCCACCTCGTTCTTCCCTCAGGCATGACAGACAAAAGAGCCACAACCTACAGTGGAGGGATGTCCCGGGGACGGGTAGGGCTCTGTCATCGTTCTTTCCCCATCTCTGTCCAACAAGACACAGGAATGAGTTTTCTCACGCAGAGGCACGCAGAGCCCCTGGAAAAAACACCACCAGGCGCAAGGGACACACAAAAGCCGCCGGGCCCTCGSCCGTCGCAGCCTGAGGCGATGCCGCCTCCCCACCCCCAGCCGGACGCAGCTCCTCTCCGCCTCCCCCGCACCGGGCACGGGCGACCCACGGTCCTTCCCCGCCTGCCCCGGGGCGTTCGGTAACCAAGCCCGACAGGAGCCTGAGGCCTGGCGATGCACAGAGTTACAGAATTGTTAAGAAGTAGAAAGCACCTCTGGAGATCATCTTGTCCAAGCGCCCGCCCCTCGGCCTCCTTCTTCGGCGAGGCGGTCAGATCTCCCCCGCCCCATTGTTCCCCGCACACCGCGACGGAGCCAGCGCACTCACCACGCGGGCCGGGCTTACTGCAGCGTTCACCGGCCACCTCAGGTCCGGCACACCGGGGCTCCCGCAGCGCCCTGCTGTTGCTCCTCCAGCAGTACCCGCGGGCCCCGGGGCAGCGCCGCCATCGCTCGCCGCCGCCCCACTGCCACTCCAGCAGCGGCCATCTTCTGTCGGACTGCTCTCTCCGCCTCCCTCCCCCCCCTCCCGGCACCGCCCGCCCCTTCCTGCGCCCGCCTTCCCCCACAGCCGGGGCGGGGCAGGTCGGGACGGGGAGAAACGGCCGAGTCACGGCCTAGAGCGCCGTGAGGGCAGAGCAGGGCGGAACTGAGCGGAGCGGAGGGGAGGGCCTACCACCGTATACGGGGCGGATGCTTCGCGCTCCGTCATGGGCGGTCTTCCATCTCAGCTCCCCTACCCCTTTCAGGGAGGGTTTATTCCCCTCTCTCACCTCCTCTTGTCATAGTTAGCGGGCTCAGGCGTGGAGGTCGAGGCTTTTCACAGGGAGTGGCTCCCGGGGAGTGGTCTGTGTTTTGGAAGCCTCCTGAGAGTCCCCGCCCGCCATTTTCTCTCCCTCGGGAGCCTCTGTTGGCGAGCCCTGCTGTTGCATCATGGCATCACGCCTTATTGCTTCGAGCCGGTTACTTTTCTTACTTGAGGGAAAAATAACAAATTAAGTTCCGGCTTAAGTGGCCATGCCGGGCAAAGCTTTCAGGTTTTTGGCCACCAGTCCCAAAGGAAGGCGTAGAGCTGGGCTCGCTGCTGAAGAGGGTGCCCCGTAGCTTTGTATGCTGCAGGACACACTTAAATCATCCTCAGCTTTAACCAACACCACAGGTAAGATGTTTGAGGACCCACCCAGCTTTCCTGTGTCACAGTCAGAACGAGTTGGGATACTGAAGAAATTTTAAAATGAAATTATAGAATGTCTTGCAGTCATTGGACTTGCAGCCTTTACTGAGTATGTACTGACGTGATACAAGAGCTAATTACTTAGCATCAGAATATTTCGACTTGATGCCCATTTATGAGAACATGAATATGGTGTAAAATACTAAGGAACTTATCCAGATTTAAATACCAAAAATGGCATTCAGTGGTTCTATTTTATTGCCCATATATTGTATCATGTCTACGGCCTGCTAGAGGCTCTGTGGGATCAATTCTGGTGTGATTSCATTGTGCAGGATGCTGTGCAGGGAATCACTGCATTTCTATTTTTCTTTCATAACAGTGTGAAGAGCACACAATGTATTGTTAGTCCAGCATCTGAAATGCAGCATTGCATGTACTGGAAAGAAAATTTAAATAGAACATCATCAAGTCAGAAGTAGCCAGGCCTAGAGCCTGGGATTCTAAATAGCAGCCTGCAAAAGGAGGCTGGGTTGTGACATGCAGGCAGAAGATGGAAATTCCAGCACACGGGGCAAAGCTATGTAGGGCAGGGGTACTCTTCAGCTCCTATTTCTGACTCTTGTACAGACCAAAGAGAGATTTTCATAAACTTTACAAGAAACGTGATGGCAATAACTAAAAGTACTATTTCTATGCATTTTATTAAAGAAATAATCTCTATTATTTAGGCTTTTCAACCAAAACAACCTTAATGCTTATCAAATATCAGTGCTTAAATAAAACAATAATAAAGCTAATAATTTCTGAAAACAGAGTTTTGTAGCCACAGTGACAGACATTTGAGATCTTATGAACACGGAAGATTAAGATATTTACAAAGACCACCTGTGACTTAGCCTTACTGTGAGCTAGAAAAGTGTGAATTGGAGATGTCCAAGGCCAGATTGAACACAGCTTGAAGCAACCTGCTCTAGTGGAACATGTCCCTGCTTATGGCAGGGTTTGGAACAAGATAATCTTTAAGGTACTTCCAAATCAAACCAGTCTGAGTTTCTATACCACAGAAACTTTTCAATCAGCAATTGTTGCCTTTTGCAGACTCCTCTCTTAAAAGGTACTGTATACATGTGAACCTAGTTGGAGTTGTCAGTGTCCTGATCAGAAGCAAAGATGGCATTAAGAGCTACAGTGGTAGGTGTTTTATGCAACCTTGGTTTAAAGTCACAGAAGCTAGAAGTGGTCAGGGTCTGAGGACATCCTGGTACTTCCTAATTTTTAGGAAGTGATTGTATGGTGTTCTGGTGTTCTGTTCAGTCTGGGATTCAATACTTCAGTCTGGRGACTTCTACCACCTTCTCTTTTGGCTCCTGTAATGTGGGAAGGTTTTAGTTTTCACGTAGCTTATGTTTTCCCTCAATAGTTAATTCCATTTCCAGTGTAAACATGCGAACAACTATTTTCAGTATGACAACAGTACAACATTGTTGAAATTTAAAGCAGTGGAATATGAAAGAAATTACCTATGGTTCTTATTATGTAACACTGCCCAGATGAGCACATTAATTCTCAAACCACACTTCAAACTTACATCCGAATCACACTTTTCTAATGTTTGTTCTTTGTTCTTTGTTTTTTAAAAGTTCAGAAATTTCTAGATGAGCTTGTTCTCTCCTTGGGAACAGATCCCACTAGATACCTAGATTATTTTTAGTGTCTGCTTTCCCCAGTTACACAGCATTTTTTCCTGTATGACACGCTGCTTTAGCATTTGAAACACAAAACAATATTTGTCTTTAGGATTACTGTTTTCAAATCAGATATCAGCTTATCATTAAAGCTGCTATAATTTTTCTCCACTTGTTGACATTGTTTTTTCTTTTCTGTTCAAAAAAACAGGAAT